CATCCTAAATCATTCCTTTCCTTGGTTATGGAAAGATATGATCTATTCTTTTTCTTTTAATCAAAAGGGGATAATGAAGTTTTAGAAACCCCAGTTGCCCACTTTCTTACTCTTGCTTTAAGTATACTTATCTCAAATAGACTATATCTAATTGGTTCCCGCATGCACTTCTCCACAGTACATAGTAAATAGTAAATGCTGCTAAAATAACCCTGAGAAGGGTTAGATGTCTGAAGCACAGCCTTCTCTCTCCAGCACTCAGTTTTGTAGGGGAACATGACATGATTTCCCAGACAGTGATTGCTTCCAATACCAACTCCACTAAAATCATGTTTCACATTCACTTTCCTTAAATTTGTTGCTTAAATAAACAAAACCAAAAACAATTTCAGGAAACCTAAAAGTAATTTCCATCTTATGCTTCCCTTCCAGCCCCACTACAGCAACCCACTAGTAGCGGCCAAATTCCTCAACATTCCCAAGAACAAAGAAGTTATCATAGTGTGTAAAATCATTGCAGAGAATGTAAGTTTTGACAATCCTCATGATCCATATGAAGGCAAAGTGGAGTTCAAACTTAAAATCCAGAAGTGAAACAAGCACTGTTTGTACTCCAGGTGAAGACTTTCAAGAAAGCTGTTCAACATTTAGAAAATTATGAACTGTTGCTTGTTTTCTACTGATTTGCAAAATCCCATATGAAATCAACTTCAATTTTTTTTTCTCTCTCAATACCAATGCTGAAGTCAACTTGATAATTTCAGAGAGGCAACTGGGTGAAAACCATCGGGTATTTCCTATGACATCCATACTTCCATGGCTCCATTAGCAAAGCTTTGTGGCTACAGTAAAGACTTGCTCGTCTATTACAGCAACCCTTACTGGGAAACCATTTAGTGAAGGACATTATGACTGACATCTTTATCTCAGTAGTCACATTCCTTAGTATAATTCCATGTGTTTTTCTGTTGTTAATGATTATCCGATTAATGTAAAAGCTATTAATCATGTGTCATAAAATAATGGCTTACGATAACAGACGTTCTGTACTCTTGCTTTTAGTAATGGTAAGAAATATTAAGAGATATGTCCAAGTTATTCTTATAGTAACAAGAACATAGTTTTCTTTAACTGGACATCTACAAGTTTCATTTGGATTATTTTCTGGGTTAAAAAAAGGAAATGATGTGAATATTCAATTTTCAATTTGATGTACTTGTTTAAGTTTCCATGATAAATGATTTTGGAGGAGAATTACAAAATATAAATATTAACCACTAAAAATTCATTATCTACACCTTTGTACACAGACACATTAACTTAAAGAATAATATGGCTTTTAGTAAAGAATGGTTCCCAGACCCTGAGCACTTAATCCATGACAGCAAATTTGCAAAACCAAACACCTGCAGGATCCATCATGACACTGATGTTGGTTCTCTGTCCTCTATTCCTAGTTGTAACTCTCCTCACCCTTATAGGCTGTCTCTGTGAGCTGCTGGGAGTGAAAATATTTATCATGCAAACCGTCTGGTGATGAGCATCTCTTGTATGAGGGTTATACCATCTGTTGCCAAGCCGATACTTAAAGCTCAGTAAGAAATGCAGTGTTTAAGCGCTATCGATGACCTGTTTCATAGAATCATAGTTTTTGAGTTGAAAGAATACTTGGACGTCACTGAGCCAACCTCCTCATTTTACGAGTAGAATCGGGATAAGAATCCAATCCTGCGGAGCAGAGGTATTAAAAGTGTGGCCATCAACACTCAAGTGCAGCCTGAACCAGATTAAAATGTAATTGGAAAATATCTAACAAAATAAATAAAAATACAATAAAACATGGAAATATCACATTTCAAAACTAGGTCAATAGGCAGCTTGCAGGGATCATTGTGTACAGATTAGTTTCAATTTGATTTTGACGTCACTATTCTAGAGGTCTCCAATTCAATGATCTTTCCCTGTCTCTCGCTTTTGGATTGCTTTTAGTGTTAGTAGGTATTTCCTTCTATTAGGCTAAAACACCTCACCGTAACTTATACCCATTTATTCCTGGAGTTCTTATCTTGGATCAAGCAAGAGAAGTTTTATTACTACGTTTCCCAGAAGACAGCCCTTCCAACACTTGAAGATAGCTATTATGTCCACCGATCTCCACTCTTTCCACCACAAGCCTTTTCTTCAGGCAAAGCACCTGGTAGTCTATGATAGGGACAGCATACGTACAACTGCCACAGTCTGGTAGATGCACAGATTAGTCAAGACTCGGCCAAGGTCACAGAAGAAGAAGTAAGCAGTTGAACTGGAATTCTGAGCTAAGATTCCTCTGAACAGACCACATAGACTCTTTCAGGAAGGATCACCACTATCTTGACTTATTATCAGGTACTTGGGGAAAAACTAGAGAAACAATAATCAGAAACAAACAACTAAGAAGGAATTACAAATCTCATATGAAGTGACAAGTTAAAAACCATAAATTGTGATTCAGACTGATCTACATATTCAATAATTTAACCCTATGTTCTATTTCGGCGGTAAGCCCTGCCAATTTTCCATGACAATGAAAACTCGCCCCAAATATTTAGCATTAATATTGTCAACCCATAAACCATTTAATTAATATGTGAGCCTCCATTCACTCATCGATAAAAATGATGTAGGAATAAAAATATTATATCTAGGTAAAATCCTCAGTCCAACTTTACAAAACACCGTATTATAAACACACTGGTTAGATCATCCCTAAAATTTAAGGGCTTTATATAGTTGCAAATACCCAATGACTAAAGGTTCTAACTTCAATGTAAGGGACTATTTTGGTTGTAGATAAACAATTCACAAAGGTGCAGGAGGGGAATTTCCACAGTGCCCTTTTGTATTCTCCATTACTGCCATTGAGCTAAAGCTCAAGAGACACAGAATTCCATGTGACTGATATCTGGGTTGTGAATGAAAGACTGTTTAAGCAGTGTTTATGCAAGCCTTTGACTATATTTCAAAGTCAAATGAAAATTTTTAGATTACATGTTTTGAATTTTCCACTCCTCTTTTCCCTTCCAGTAGCATAAATAATGAAGAGCTGGTTAATACATTAGCCATAATAGTTATGTTTTCTAATCAATTTCTGAAATGTAAAGTAAAAGGTGTCACTGATATTTCCTTTGTATTTAAAGTACATTCTTGAATGGTTGATTCCACTATGTTACTGGATATAAAGATGTTTGAAAAATGAGGTCTTTTGATGAGAGAAGAAAAGCATATGGTATCAGAAGTATGCTTCTATCTAACAGTTAAGTCTTAATCATGTATAGCAAGAGGGGAATGGAATAGTGTGGCTAAACAAATGTAAAGTTCATTGAATTAATTATTCCAACTTCTAATTATATCCAAACACTGTACTGGAATTAGTTGATTAGATTAATTGATTTGAGTTTCATCATGCCCTGTTCATTCCCTTAAAATGAGTTTATAAGGTTTTTACATATGATATATTTATCTTGAATGATCAAACGTTGACTGTACATTTATTTACATGGGTAATTTTTAAGACTTTCTTCCCTTCTGAATTTCATTAACCTATTTCATTTATTAAAGGATATCAAGATTAAGTAAATGGCCGTAATTTTCACTTTCTCCTCAATAAAGGGTCATTTTTTCTAATGGTCAAAAACCTTAAAAAAAAAAATCCAATGTTATGATGTTACTTAACTCAAAATCAATATATAGCAAATTAGGGGTATAGAGACCGAGATGTATGGGGTTACTCATATAAGTCACTTTCAATTACCTATTGTCATGAGGGTAAGATGAAAACCTGTCCCAATTATTAGGGCACTGTAAAAGTTACTGTCTGCTGGAAAATAAAGCCATCTTTTACGTTATATACATTATTATCTATTTCCTTCAGTCTTCCATAAATTAGCCAGGAGAACACTGGTTCTTCTGGCCCTGCCACCTCCATGCAGGTGAATACTGTAGCCAGGTATAATCAGCATGGAAGGTCAAGAAATAAAACCCCTCATAAATGCAACATAGGGCAATGTTGGGAATTAAGAGCATCACAAAGTTCATCACCAGGGTATATCTTTTAGGTCCTGGCAATTCAATTTCACTCAATTTTTAAAGCAAAGCCAGACCAAAAAAAATTCTAGACAGAATAATCCTGAATTAGAAAAACACAGAGCTTGTTTAAAATGCCCATGCGCGTTTTATTAATAAAAACTAACAGTGCCAAGTTAAACAAGTCAAACAATTAAAGTCTCTTTAAATTCCATAAAATATTACAGAAAAGTTTATTTGTGTTTCAATAAAAAGACTATTGTCTTTGAACAGGCAGCTGACAGCATTTGTGCAGTTAATTTTGCTTTGTGAATAAATTTAAAAAGAGACTACACCGCCTGCCTGAAATGCTTTTTTTAATAAAAAAATGAACTATTAAAAATGATTGACAAATTTTGAGTTAAAAAACTGTTAAAACATTTTCTATATTTAATTTCAACTTTATAATAGATTACAGGAAGATGCTTACGAAACAAATACAAACATTTGTTTCTGTACATGTCTTTAAATGATAGACTTATAGTATGTAAACAACTATATAATAAAAAGTTTCCAAAGTCTGCCTGTAAGAAATCAGGCAAATTTTACATAAGCAATAAATCATTCCAAACCTTCAAGATATTTTATATAGCTGCACCAGCATGGCAGTAAACTTTTGCCAAACAAAAACTTTTTTTTTTAAACCTTTTTAATCCATACATACCAACATATAGAGGAAAATTATATAAACTTGATGGAATTACAACAGTAAATATAATTTAAGGGAAATAAATTCATAACATTTATGATGCTTAATGTTTAAAAAAGTAAAACTTTTTTTTTGTTTGGTTCTTTGGACATTGCATGATTTAGCAAAATAAAAACGTATCATTTGCTATCCATCAATTAGTGGCACCACTTCAAAACACTCTTCAAATAAATGGCCATTCAGTGAACCATTTTCCACAAAAGGATAGCCTTTTATTTTCATTGATGTGGATGAAGTACAATTTCTTCAACAAATTCAGCAAGAATTGTTATGGGGCAAAATGGACATTCCTTCAAGTAAAAAATATTAGAAAACAAAACACAAAATCCTACCGAGTAAATAAAGGATCTGCATTAGCACACTGGTATCAAAACACACATTCACACCACATTTTAAAAATCCTACGAAAAACAATCCTTGCTTGCTTATCAGAGCCGCACTCTCTAAATTCAACAGCTTACCCATATTTCCTTAGGGGTAGGATCAAAAATAAAAATAAAAATCCACATTTTTAAAAAAAGTTCTCTTCCCTAGAACAATTTATTCCTGAAGCTGAATTTGAAGGGAGGGAAACGTCTACACGCCAAGAAATCAGTCTTCATCGTCATTTTCATTAAAGTCATCGTCATCGTCGTCGTCTTCCCCAACATAAGATACTGGAGTTTCAACTCGGGAGCCACTATACTGAGAGCCATTGGAACTTGTTGCCAACATTCCATCTGTACCATTGGTAAAATCACTGCAGAGTGAAAAATAACAGCTGTCATTGTAGTCCCCAAGGCGAAATTTTTTTTTTTTTAACTTAAAGGGCTTAAGAAGGGCAGCAACGCATTCATAGTGTAAGTTTTTAAGGTTTAGACGTAGAAGTGTAAACACATAGATCAATCGCCATTGACACAGAATCTTTTCCCCTCAGGGAACTTTCACTTAACAGTGGCATATTTGTCTTCACAGTATTCCCATGAAGAATATGGTGACAGGCTAGGAAACAAGCTCTCCAAAGATTCGTGACTTATTCAAGGCTACATAGTAATCACAATAGTGATAGCATCTAAGTGACACCTTCCCACAAGGAGCACAAATGATGGGCCAATTTGTGTAATGGTTTAAAAAATATATACTTGCTACAAATCAACATTTCAGACAATTTGACATCCACCAATAACCTGTATTACGAGACTTGTTCAGGGTCACAAGTAAGTGGCTGAGGCAGTTTTCCTGATTCCAATTCTAGCACTCTAACTTCTGAAACACTTAGCTGCCACAGGACCTAAGCTCCCTGCACAGGTGCAGAATTTCTCATGATGTATGTAATGGGCTAAATAGGAGATGCTACTCTATGTCTACTTGAGAGCTACACACCTTCCTATCAGTAAGATCTCCCCAGATGGGACTGTTTCTGGAACATTTCTGGGATTCTAATCTACTTGGTTCAGGTTGAAACCAGGAAGATATCCCAGAACGAGAAGATCCATAGGCCCAAAACGGTCAAGAACTTGTGAGTCGTTATGCCCAAAGCAGCTAACCAGCAATATTGAGACATCTCTGGTACCCTCCAGCCATTCTGGCAAGCTACCCAAAGATGTCTGTGAACACTTGTCGATTAGTATTCAAAAAAACCCAGAAACTTTAACAAGGGCAGGAATTCAGCAGGTCCCAAAATACGAGTATGTGGCACTTTGTGCATACTGCAGAAGATGCTAAATCCTTAGCAAATTTTAGTTAGTAGTGATGATAATCATAAGCGCAAAGTCAAGCATTCAAAGCAAGCTTTTTTGACTTCCAATGCGCTTCTTTATCTATAAGACCACCGTCCTAAACATGACATGAGAAAGAACAGCTACAGATCTGTCAAAGTACCTTATCATCATTTCTAATGCTTGCCTGATACAATGACGAATCAGTAGTGTCATGTGGTAGATAACTTCTCTAATGGTACAAATTGCAATATATTTACAACCTGTCATTCTGTCAGATTCTTGTCCACATCCTTCTATAAATCTCCTATAGAGGATTTCCCTGATACAAGGGAGAGCTTCTAATCTTTATATATTTTGTAGATACCACTGCAAGTGTTGGGCTGTCCACCGCTCATTCCTACAGTGCTAGCCAGTCTCTAATAATCTGCTTGATAATGGCTGTGAAGCCACTTCTTGCACACAAGTTAGAGTTGGCAATATGAGAAAGTATAGTGGAATGTAAAACTATCATGTGCTCTTTCTCCCATGTCCTTTCAGTCAAATAAGATTTTGATTTACCAGTGATCATAGTGGACCATGACTGACAGTCATATTCATCAGGAGAATGGTGGTGTTTAAAAAAATATTTTGTGGGTCATGGAGATGTTTAGGATTGTCTTTGGGAATGTTGAAAACACTGCATAATCATCCCAAGTATAAAATTGCTTATCTGCTTTTATTCAATTCTTCACCTAAGTCATGTACAGTCCCTATTTAAGACAGATGTACTCAAACAACTCAGTGGGCTTCCACCCAACTGCATATCATAAGATGGGATTCCTCTGTCCATTTATTTTTTTTTCTTGCCCTCTATTTCATGCTAAAACGTTTTAATCGGCTATGAATCTTTTTACTGGGGAAGGCCTCAGTAAGATTCCGGAAGCATTATGTTCACAGTGTCTATGAACAAGAGCTAGAGTACCCAACCCTTCTTTCATTCCAACTTTATGCAGGACATCCTCCATGACATGCTTTCCTTGATCCTGATAGTTATAACAGATAACATTCACATAGCACTTTAAAGTTTGGCAAAGTACTTGACATACATCTCTGTCCTATTTGACTCTCACAACAACCCAGTGAGTTAGGTGCTGTTATTTTCAATTTCACTTTATGGATGAAGAAACTGAGGCTGAGAAGTTAAGTGACTCGCCCATGGTCAGAGAAGAAGCAAGTAGATCATGCAGGAGTTGTATCTAGTCCCACTACTCTTTGTACAAAATGAATCAAGGAATTGTATCATCTTGTACACATAAAGGATAGCTTGTTTTAGTTTTGCAGGCTACATTTCAATTAACCAAGTTAAATGATTTTAATAATAAAAAAATGTGGAGAAGGAAGTTCTTCATACTTTTCAGGTAATTGTGTGACTCCAGCAATAAAGAAATTATGTGACTAGTGATGTAGATGCTGAAGAAAACTGTAAAAGCCTGCGGGCTCTCTTCATAAGGGATCCTTAAGGATACCTTCAGTTTATGTATAGATCATGCAGATGAAAGAAAAATAGGTATATGGGTTAGTACTTGATACTTTCTTGTTGCCTTTTTTTTTCTAATAATACTGTCTAGGTGTTTTCTCTCCTCTTTTCATTTTTTCCCAATCCTTGGGATAGCTTGAAAGTTGATGCCTGAATCCCTTTAAAAGTGTGTCACTGACAAAAACAGGCTTCTTCTGTGTGTACTTGGTCTGGTCAAGCTGCTCCTTCTAACTTCTTATGTCTTGATGGTTCCAGTGACCAAGAAGAGAAAAGATCATTACATAAAGGATGACAAATCCACTCAATTTTGTGTCATCATGCTTTATAGCTTAAGCTCTATCAGGTTGGATTTGCTTAATTGGTTTTCATACAAAATTCTATTTGCTTGTTTTATAATCTATTGCTCTGAGATGTGACACCTCCCACTATCTTCAGCAATCCTCCCCCAACGTGTTATGTAAACAGTCTTATACTCAAAATTAGTGTTATCTATGTTATCCATGTTTGTCCACTTAGCCAGAAAATCAAATACATTTACAGACTGTGGTGGTTCTCAGGGCTGTTTTGGTCTTCTTATTGAGGCAACTGTTTTATAGAAATTAAGTATCTCAAAGAAACGGTGATAATCAGATGCCATTACTTTTTTCCCTACTTCTCAAGAGTCCACATATCTAAATGTGTCATGTTTTTAGAGACTTCCTTCTAACAAGGTACACCTTGTGTAGATGTTAAGATCATACCAGACTCTTTGACATATGTAACAAGAGATAACTCTGTTCAATGATCCTCCAATTATCAAGGAAGCCATAAAACAAGTAAGTGTAGACTCAATCAAGGTGTTCACCACTGTCACGAAGTATGTGTGCTACACAGAGTCCAAACAGAACACAGATTTTCCCTATAGAAAAGTCCACCCGATATTCCTGTAGTGGATGTTTTTGTGCTGGATACATTAAGCATTGAAATCTCTCAATGAGATCCACAATCACTCACAATAGTTCAGCCTGTAATTCACAGAAGGTGGTGGAAGAATGCACACAGTCTAGACCAGGGGTGGGGAACTTCCGGCCTCGAGGCCACATGTGGCCCTCTAGGTCTTCAAGTGTGGCCCTTTCACTGATTTGTTCTGTGAAGTTTGGATTCTGTCCAATGGCTGCACTTGAGGACCTAGAGGGCCACATGTGGCCTTGAGGCTGAAGGTTCCCCACCCCTGGTCTAAACTGTGATGTATAGCTGAATAGGTAGTCCATTGAGCTGATCCATCAATGATACTCTTTATCATACAGCTATCCACAGATAGACAATGAGCTGGAACCCAGAATCAAATGGGGAAAGATAGGTTAGACTGCATTTGTGAAATTGCATTGGCTTCAGGGACACCAAGCTCTTTTCTGGTGCAAAGATCTATCTTTTAAACATAAATATTTTTCAAGTAATGATAGATAGCTATGAATCATGGAACATCATCTCCAAAGAACTTGATACAGATGAATGAAATGAATGGAAAAGAACTCAAGCAATTCCTGTGTGCAAATCCCTATGAATACAAATGGAAAAGTTAGACAGTCCTTGCTCTCAAGAAGCTCACATTTTAATAGGAAGAGATGACACACCCATATTCTAGGAGGTTTTAGCTGCGAATCAGGAGGACAGGTTCAGTGGTTCTTAGGGTACAGTAGCAAAGCAGATGGTGGGACACCTTTAATGTCATTCCCATGGTTAAAATAACATTTCTTATGATGAGCCATGGACTTTGGTGGTAACAACTTCTTTGCTGGGTCTTCAGTAGCTATATCCACTGACAAGGCAATGGCGATGGCCCCTGCAGAAGTAGTTACTAGTTCACATCTCCACAAGAGTTGATTCTCTGGATGATGGTTGGAGGGGCTGGGCTAGATGTAGGGCCTGTGGTCTGGGAGATGTATGAGGTGGGTGAGTGGGGAGGTGGTGAGGGCTATTGCCATTCTTGGGGCTCTTGGGCTTATGCTCCTGGGCTGCCCCCATAGAGATGATCTGAGAGGAGATAGTAGCAAAAATCTGACACCCTAAGCACACTGTGCCTCTTGTCTCTTTTCTTTGTGATACTCTTTTAGAACCTCTTGTGTTCCATATATTATTGCTGGCAGTATGGAAAATATGAGCGTTTGCTTTGGGGCCATTACAAGAACTCTGCAATTACTTACAAACAATCCAGTCTACTTCCCTTCCCTCATTCTAATTAGGGCTTAACTCATCCATATGTATGATCTGTCACAGATGTATATATTGACAGACAAACTTTACAGGGAGTCCATCAAATGCAAGTTGTAATCTAGACAATGGACATTCTTCACCCACAGGTTTTTCCTGTGTGGATGGTCAACCCAAATTCTTCTGAATAATTACAAAATTTTTCCAGGAGGGAATATTCTAGAGCTTGAAGCAATCAGCACAATGCCATTCACCAGAAGGAACATGTAGAAGTCATCATCCACAGAGAATCCCAGTTCAGCTTGTACTCTGTCCTAGATCTCATCTATCACAGTGGCACATACTTCTGGGGAGCACAAAGTTCCCTATTTTATGCTTCTATTGATATTATCACCAGGGGATCTTTTGAACAGACTTATTTCTGTTACATCTTTCAACGAATATGGAATGACTTTAATGTATGGATGCCACATACTGTGTTGAAAAAAGGTCCATATAATAGTGCTTTGTTATAACAAAATCAAATCAAGAAGAATTTACTGAGTGCCTACTATGTGCCAGGCACTAAAAGACTTTGTGGGGGTGAAGGGGGGAGTGGGGGAAAGAGAAGCAAAGATGTAATCAATAATAAACACAATGGAGCTTATATTTTCTGCATTTTTGAGTTAATTGTAAAATAATATGGTACAGGCCACTACTGAATTTAACTATGAAAGTCCATTTGTTCCCTATTAAAACCTCCATCTATGATGCCCTTGAGTCATGTTCAGATGACCATCACAAAGATTTATATAAATGGGGGTTAGCGTATAGCTCAGTAGCTCTCTTTGCTGTGGCAATAAATTGACATTAGTTAAATGCCTATGTAAAACTATTATTCTCAGTATTTATTCATTTCTGTTTCTGATGTCATTTTAGCCATTTTTGATTGCCAGGATTCAATTATTTCAATTTAATAGCGTATCTTTTTCTCATTATCATTCCTTCTTCTTGGTTTTTACTCATTCCAACTTTAGCTGTGCCGAGTCAATAGTTTGACTCTTCGATCGGGGATAACTTCAATATCAATAACAAGTCTTCTGTTCTGCTAAAATATTGATTTTATTTTATTTTTGTGATGTTAATTGGTGCTCACCATGTCTAACATCAACCAATTATTTTCTCAAGTAAAGTGTTCATGATATAAAGGTATGAGGCTTCAGTTTAATTTATGTCTTCAGCCTCTCTCATTCCTTCTTCCTAAATTATGCTTTCCCATATATTTTTCCCCATCCTCACTTTTCCTGCCTTTGTGCTGAAGTCAGAGAATATGTTGATTTAATTATTAATAATCCTTATTAAAGGAGGGTCTTACTGAGTTCTTTAAAGAATCTTTCTACTTCTTCATTCTTCATTCATTCATTCATTCATTCATTCATTCTATTTCTTCATCCCTTATCTGAGGGATGTACACAATTACTTCTACGGTAATCTTTTTTTTTTGTAAATACTTATTAATACTGTAATACATGATATTCCATACAAGGTAATGTTTCTTACTGCCTTTAGATACATGATCAAACCCATTTCTCCAACTCCTTTTTGTACACGGATTTCCAGTTAGGGTGGAATTTCTTTCTTTCTTCTGTTTTCATTTACATTGAGAATGTCTTCCACCAAGTTCTTCTCAGATGCTTTGTCATGGTATGGAGATAATCCCAATTTCTTGAAGGCTATGTGAGCAAAGCATCAGGTTTGGAAGATTCTATCACGCTAAAAACATTTCCAGTATGGCCCCAGCAATAGACGTAGTCTGTTTTCCAAGGACCAGCCTAGCTAAGTAGAGAATGGTACATCACCAATAGTCTGAACACTTGGTGATAGACTTTTTGGTCATGGTAACCCATATAAATGTGAATAATTATTATCACAAAAAGCAAAGTTCTAAATTCAATGAGTCCAATGTGATAAAACACAACTTGAGGTAAATTTGTTAGGAAAAGAAAGTAATGTAAGTAAAGAAAAAACTCACATAGGCAAGTTAGACAGCAGGATAACTTACAGAGGCAGAAATCTAATTTGTTGATGTAGCACAGATGAACAAACCACTCATCTCCAACCAGTATATCAGTTATGTGCTTACAAGTACTCAGCCATGTTGAAAACAAAAAATAAAATACAGTTTTTAAAAAAGATATGCTCTTCTGTATTAATTCTATAAACTAGTTTCACCTGGCAGAAAACCTTGTGCCACTTGAAGTCGAACCTGATGATGATGTGACATATACACTGCTGATTGATCCCTGAGCCATTTCTGAAAAACAGAAAGAAAATAAGTCATTTAATTAAGACAAAAAACAAACAAGAAATGTGAAAAGGCAAAGGAAATCGAGGTTATTCACAAAAAAAGAAGAAAAGGCTAAGAGTGGAAGCTTAATGATAGCTTTCATACAATGACAGTGATCAACTGTTCCTAATATCCACGAAGAACAGAACAGAAGGAAACAGGTTTAAAATAACTGCAGCATGAGGAATGTAAATAAGCCAGGAAGTCAGAGAGAAAGAACACTGTTAAGTTATTTGATTTTTTTGGAAATAGATCTTGCTTTCTCTAGGATGGTTTGGTCAACTTCTGCCCAACTGCAAGCAATAAACTAATTCTTTAAGGTCAATCCTTTCTAGCCCACTCATATTCTTCATCTTTTTTTTTTTTTTTGCCAGTTCATGTCTTTTAAAAAATGTTTTATTGATGGCTTGCCTTCATATCAGTTATTTCCCATTCTTCCCTCTCTACTAAAACCTCCCCAAGTGACAGAAAAACAATGAAACAAAAACATTCCATATGTATACGCTATTACATCCTGACAGACCCTGACCTCTCCGCCATGAAACAAGAAGTATATTTCATTATCTCTTCTTCTGATTTGAATTCAGATTTTTTCAAGTAATCTGTTCATTTACATTGTCGTAGTCACTGTGTATACTCTCCTCCTGGTTTTGTTATTTTGTCCTGTACAGGTTTGTACAAACCTCCCCATATTTCTTTGAATTAATTTATGGATGAAGTATTTCATTATATTCATTTATATTCATTAGTACTTTCAGCACTCACACACCAAAGAGTACTCGCTGCTCATAGGTACCACCATTTGCTACCACCAACAGTGATGTTAGGGACATTCTGGCACATGTACCAGATCTTTACTTTAGCACTGTTTTTGTCTTTGATCTCCGTGGGGCATGTGCTGAGTAGTGGGACTGCTCAGTGGGGACAGTTTAGATACTCTATTTCCATGATCACAAATTAAGAGAATAGTTGGCTCATTCTGCAAGTCCACGAACAGTAGGTAAGTGTGCCTCACCTCCAAAAACCCCTCCAATAATGTTCTCATCTTTGCCAATCTGCTTGGTGGAAGCCAAAGATCAAAGTTGTTTATTTTGTTATTATTACTAATAATTTGGAACATATTTTCAAATGGCCATTTAGGGTTGGTAATTCTTTTGAAAATTATTCAAATCCTTTGATCATTAACTGTGGAATGCCACTTGGTACAATTTCCCGTATATGTGGAGTATCAGACTTGAATAAATACCCAAGGCAAATATTTTGCCCACTTTACTCTTCTAATTCCACAGAAGCAATTCTTTTGTTTGTGCAAAGTCTTTTTAATTGTATACTCAGGATTATCCTCTTCCTATTTTATGCCTCTGTCCCCTGTTTAATTCTTTCCCTAGACACAGCTGTGAGGGGTACCTTATTTCATTCCCTTCTTACTTCTTAATAATATGCCCTTTTATATTTCAGGTCACATAGACAATTTGATCTCATTGTAAAAGACGTTGCAAGATAATGGGATAAATCTAATTTCTGCTAAACTCAAGTCTAGTTTTCACAACAGTTCTTATCAAATTGAGTCCTTCCCCCCAATAATTGATGTTCTCAGGTTTATCCAACCCAAGACCTACTGTTTTCATTTGCCCCTTTTTCTTACTTATCGTGTCTGTTCCACCGTTCTATTTTTCTTTTTGTAAACCAGTACCAAATAGATTTGATTATTACTGATTTATAACATTATTGAAGGTATGGCAACACAATACCCATTTCATTTGCACATATTCTCATTTTCCGTAAGATTCTAGAACTTTTTTTTTTTAAATGAATTTTATCACTTTTGTCTAGTTCCAAGAAAATATCTCCTTGGTAATCTGATTGGTATAGCAATAAATCTCAAATTAATTCAGGAAATAATCATTTTTATTATAATGACATAGTCATTATCCACTTCCTTTTCTAAGAGGCAAAACTATTTCTGTTTGTGGGCACCATGATGGTATGATTAGAAAATCCTAAAGAATCAGCAGAGAGATTGATAAGAGTGATTAATAGATATATAAGGGTAGCAAATATAAAATAAATCCAAGGTAATCATCAGCATTTTTGTACAATGCTAACAAAAACAAGAAATGTTGATGAGAAATTTCACTGAAAAAAATGTAAAATGCACCAAGTATTAACCTATTTAATATTTAAGTTTTAATAGTTGAAGATACTATTAATAATATTAATATAATCTTAATTATATTAATATTTTAATAGTTTAAGAGTTAACCTATCAAAGCTTGCATCAGAGTTACGTAACTACAACAGTGTTATATACAGAAAGAAGTTCTAGTGTCAGGAGACTTAGGTACAATTTTGCTTCTAATAATTATTACCTGTGAGACTTTGGAAAAATTACTTAAACCTCCTCAGGCCTCAATTTCTTCATTTGTAAAATGAAAAGATTGGACTAGTTAGCTTCTGATGTTCCCCTCCTGTTCTCAATCTAAGTTCAATGAGATGTAAAATACTCTACAGAAATAAGAGGAGACTTCTATAAAGGAAGATAGATTCATTGCTTATGCTTAGAAAAGGAAGCCCCAATTCTGCTGTCAGATACGACAACAATAAACATTGATCAGTCCAGATAGACAGAGAGAGACTGTTATGTTTAAAGGCACCATAGATGTTGGGAAATGAACAGGATTAAATGTATATGCATCAAATAGCATAGCAATTAAATTCCTAAAAAAAGATAAGTAAATCGTAAAAAGACAATGAAAGTAACAGTAATAGTTTAGTATTCCTCTAAGAGTAAGATAAATTGAACAGGAAGATAGTGGATTTTTTTTTTGTATAGCGGATTTTGTTTTCTTGCTACTACAGCTAGCATTTCTAGAATTATGTCATGTAAAAGAGCCTATTTGTTTTAGTCTTTTTCAAATAAATGAGTGAAGTATTTGTCAAAAGCTTCTCTTGTATCTACAAAAGTAATGATAGAGTTTTTCTTACATATGGTTTAAATGATTAATGATATTACATTTTCCTAATGTCAAACCATCCTCGCATCCGTGGTATGAATCCAGCGTGAACATACTGAATGATTTGCTAAGGATTTTATTTAAAATTTTACATCAATGTTCTTTACTAAGACTAATGTACAGTTGTCTTCTACTTTTTTCTGCTCTTCGGGCAACAGTACCATTTCTGTCTCTATCCAACGATGTTAATAAAAACAACAGCAACAACAACTGGTTAAAACTGAACGCTGCAAAATTATAATGACCAAGTTTGGTCCCTACAAAGTTATATGAAATGAAATCTCTCCTGGCTACTTTGCAGAAGCTGGGGCAAGGTGGAAGCCTTCAAGGGTGTGGAGCATTGATAATAACAGACTTTTTTATTATGTTGTTTCACTTTTTGCTGAACTTTTTTTCTTAATAAGAGATGGCTCTCTGCTGAGAGTGGGGGTTAGGGATACCATGGATAATGTAGGTGACATATCAGTAAATTTTATTTTTTAAAAGTTTGGTAATGTATATTCTGTTCCTATTTTGGAGAATTTTTTGGTGGCACAGGTATTAATGACTTTTTAAATAGCCAAAAATGTTCAATCATAAATACATCTGTCTCAAGATTTTTCCCCTTTTTGGCAAATCATTTAAGGACTGGTGACATCTTTCTCTAAATCAGGGTCGTGTAAGATGTCTACTTTATTACTCCATTATGCCCTGGTATATGATCAACTTTTATAAAGTTGCCTTGTATACACTGAAAAATATGCATATTTAACATATCCATTCACAAGTCATCACAGGTCAAGTAAATCTAGTTTAACAAATTATTCACTTCTATATTTTCCTTATCTTCCTGTTCAATTTATCTTACTCTTAGAGGAATACTAAACTATTACTGTTACTTTCATTGTCTTTTTACTATTTACTTATCTTTTTTTAGGAATTTAATTGCCATGCTATTTGATGCATATACATTTAATCCTGTTCATTTCCCAACATCTATGGTGCCTTTAAACATAACAGTCTCTCTGTCTATCTGGACTTGATCAATGTTTATTGTTGTCATATCTGACAGCAGAATTGGGGCTTCCTTTTCTAAGAGTTTCCTAAAATAGAACAGGTTTTGTTCCATCCCCTGTATTTGTTTTTCTCCATGTAACTGTATTTTAATTATCTTTCTTGTAGGCAACAAATTATTTGGATTTTTTTTTCTTATCCATTTCTTTGTTACTGAAGAAGTTAACTTTTCACATTTAGAGTTGTCTGTGTAGTCTTCATGGCTATTAACTTTGTATTATCTTCCATTAACTACTTGACATGAATATGCAAATAGATAGGCATACAGGGGTCATCCTGTCTTTGTTGTTTTCCTCATTATCTCTCTTTTAACCTAGCAAGCTCAGTTCTGCCTTCTCTCAGTTCTATCCTCCCTGGACATCCAACGCCCTTCTCTTTGACAGTGGGAGTAAGAACTGAAATGCATCACTCAGTCTTGTAGTAGCTATCTTCTCAAGTATCCAAGCTTCCTGCACAAAGTCCACTGCAAGTCTCTTATCTGCTTCCTTCCTCCTTCTTCCTTCGGGTTGCTCCATGATGATGCCAGATCATTTCCTTTCTGCTGGCTATACCTAAATCCTACTTTTCCCTCTGTATTTTGCACCTCAATGATATTTCCCAAAGGCAGAGGGAGGAACTGAAAAATTCTAATCTCCCTCTCCCCTCTAGTGCTGACCAGTCATTATCTTGGTCCTTTGTTTCACTCTCTCCTTTCTCTATTTAGGAGAAATGTCTTTGTACTATCTTACCACCTATAATACTGGTTATCCAAGGCATAGGATTTTTTTCTCACAAAAAAATAATTCACTTCCCCTACCTTTCCTCCTGATTTTTCCTATTATGCTTTTTTACTACTTAGATTATCTATTAATACTCTTTTTGCTTTCTCCCTCTCAGCATGTCAAGTTTTTTTTTTTTGTTTAAATCAAACAGAACCTATTTTCAAGTTCAGTATTCTTGTTTTATAGAGCTCTCATGTTTCCAGTATGGTTGTTTTTCTTTTTAAAATTCTACTCTATCATTTTTTTCCTTCCAGAGCTTCATTTTTGTGTTCCACTTGTCACTTTGTTTTTCTGATCTTAATTCTTTCATATGTACACTTTCTTTTCAGATTGCTCTTTTGAACCATTCTAGACATTCTTGGAGTTGCTTCACTGTTATTTAAGAAGGGCCTTGAAGAATTTGTTGAGCTTTCTTCACCTTCCTCAAATGACTGTGATTCAATTTCTTATTACAAAATACTCATTCACTCAGAGGGCTCTTTTCTTCAAACATTTACTCATTTCTCCCCCTCAATTACCTCTTGAACAATGATTACAATGATTCTGCTGACTTTTTTTATGGCATTCTTGCTGAAAATGTGTTGGTTATTAATCATCTCCCCTCACAGGTCTAATATTCCTGTGCCCTCATGCTTTCAAACCAGCTCTTTTCACAGGTTCATGAAGTCTGGCTGAGAATGGTCAGCTAAGACGCCAATGCAAAGAAACTCTGAATGCTCACTACTTATTCTCTACCTTTCCCAGTCCCACTCTTCCATTTTCCATCATCCTTTCTGAAAATGAAATCCCTCTCACCACACGAGCTGGTTGTGAAGGTGTCAAGGGAGATGTGGAGTGGAGAAAAGGTCCCACAGGATGCCTCTCGAAGGCGTACTTCTGGGAAGCCTCTGAAGTGTGTGCTCTCTTCTACTCCCTTGTGACCCTTCCTACTAACCGCTTTTCTTTTTTTCCACTCCTGTGCTACACTAATCAATTTTCTTCACCATGGAATTTCTGGTTCCTCCATTTTCTCCCAGACTCCACAATCCTCCGTGACCATTTCCTTTCCAACTTCTCCAGACTCAGGGCTATTCAGATTCAAAGACTTCAAGCCCCCCAGGACTGGAATTTCCAATGGGATATCAACACAGGATTAGTTAGGGAGGGACAAGAAAGTGAAAGGTAGGAAAAAGGTCCAGGACATGATGCTGGCTAATTGGTCTCCAGGAGCAATTTCTTTTGTAAAAATAATCTGTTCTTTTACTTATTACCAGGTTCTTTCACTTATCTTCTTGATGTCATTGCTGAGTTTTCTAAACTTGGGGCTTTTAAATGGTATTATGTGATATGGTAGGGAGAGAGACATCCTTCACAATTCTACCAGGATTCTCCAATCCGTATTGTAATATAACACATTCAACCCACACTTTCAAGGACAACATGTCAAACTTCTCAGAAAGAGATTTTAATCATAAACCCCTCTCTCTTCAAGCTACTATATGCTAACATACTCAACCAAATAGTCACCAGACTAACATGTTGCTTTTTACTGGGTGCATGGGATTGAAATGATGCTAAAATAAGAGAATCGCATTTCTGCCACCTGCTCATTGCATTTGAGCTCCCTATGACTTACAAATCTCAACAGCCCCTAGTATCTGATTTTTATGCCCAGTCTTTTCATTCCTTATTATCCCTGGGTGTTTTGTATCTGGAATCCTTCAGAAAGGAAAGGTGTAACATTTTTACCAGAAGAGGGATAATCAACTTTAAAGTCTGTTCAAAGTATGTCTTTGCACACTGTCAAATGTGAACAGCATCATGGCAATTAAATACTGTCTCACTGACCTGTCACATATGGTTCCAGAGCTTTAGGTACCAAACTTCTTGCCATTTTTAGGTCTTCTGCAGAACAGCTTCCAGATTCTAGCCCACAAGCCATCCCCATTCGCTTTAATACTTCTATGTCATCGTGGATTTCAAATGTGTTGTCGAAATTAAATAGATACTCAAATCTGAAAGGGAAGATTTCATTATTAAAACATCAAGAAGATTATGAAGATATCCTGTTGATGAACACACACCACACATGCCTGAGAGGACGACTGCTCTCAAAAGCGAAGCAAAGCCAGCAATGAGAGAAGTAGGCTGGTATCCATGAGGCACAGAATCTGCTGCCTAGGAGCTAGAAGTATAACACACAGCCCTAAAACTTACATCCTCAACTTCTCCCATTCTCCAATATAAGCTCTCTCTGAAAACTGATAGGCTAATAATCACCCCCGCTTCCTTAAGTTTGATGAAATACTCTCTCCTCCCCCCAAAACCAGAATTATGTCTTTAATACTTAAAAATATTGGGTCAGGGATCTCGGGTCTCCCAGTGAGGAAAACTCCCTAAATCAATGAAGATGAGCAAGTTTTCTCCCCGAAATAGTTTTACAGAGTTGGTTAAGTGACTTGCCCAGGATGACTAAGCCAGTACATATAAGAAGTTGTACTTGAACACAGCTCCTCCAACTTAGAAGCCTGCCCACCGTTCACCATACTATTGCTTCCTCTCATATTTTTAAATTGATAGAATTTTTATATTTTTTTTCTTTGAAATAAGTAACCTGCAGGCAAAAAGAAAAGCAAATTTTATGCTTTAATAATAAAAAGTGAGATGTCATTAAGTTGTATTTACTAACAAAAATTCGTAGAAGCAGAGCCATATAGACAGTTTGGAAGCCAAGAAGACCTGAGATCAACTCCTGCTGCTGCTGCCACAGCCAGGCTCTGTGACCCTGGGCAAGCCATGGAGAAGGGGCTGACTATCTGCACCATCAATGAGTTCCTCATATCAGAGATAACACAGGTCTGGTCCCTAATCCCATCCCTAACTAAAATTAACTGAAGGAGGTGATGTATAGATATTTTGTCTTTAACAAAACCAACTATGGGATTTCTTCATTTTTTATTTGAAACTCACAGCTGAAGCAAAAGGGCGGATGGAAAACTTCTCTTTTCCATGAACAACCTACTTGTCGTTAGAAATACTGCAGTCGATCACTGTCTTCTTGCTGGTGTTCACAATGATAAAGGGGAGGTGGATGACAGAGTTGGAAGGTGGTGGGCGGCTGGCTTGCTGTTCTGTTTGACGATTTCTCTGCACCAAATTCTTGAAGGCAATTTGCTGAAATAAAATATACCAACTTATAGACTCACCACGTTACTCACTCACTTTTGATACTAAATATATCTTGGCCTCACCCAGAAATATAATACCTTCCTCCAGAACTCTTCACGCTCACATCACTGTGAGGTAAAACATCTTAGGTCGGAGCTGGCAGGTATCTTAGAGCCCATACAAGTCAACCTTTTTATTTCACATATGCAGAAGGTGAAGGCCAGAGAAGTGAGTCAATTCACCCAAGGTCATACAACTGACAAGCCTCAGAGCTGGGACTAGAACCTAAATCTCTTGCATTGTAGTCAGGAAGAGGGGCTTGACTCAACCTCTTTTAGAGAAGACATCAGAAATCTCCTGATTACAATGATTAATTCATGTCACCTCTTTAGCATTCAGAAAACTTTACAGTCTTCATAAAGAAAACCCATTGAAAATCAAATACTCTCTAAGGAGTGATATGAATTTAAGGAGTGCCCTAATATGCAGATTACTCATCATATCATTTAAACTAAAAAAAAAAAAAGAGTCCATACAAAAAAATGTTTTTTAAATCTATTTTTAAATGTCACGACCCATTCCATTACTTTACCCCTCACCCACCCCAACCATACCAACATGTGACTGGGGGAGAAAAACTTTCACTGTAAACATTAGTTAATTGCAAGGTCCTAAAATTCTAAAGTTTGAAAGAGTCTAGCCCAGAAACAACACTAAGCAAGCTCACATCTAAAACATCCCAGATAAATGGAATCTAACGTCTTCAAGGGGCTATAATCTTAGTTTCTAATTAATGTGAGTGATCCCTCCCATGACACATGCTGTAGCCCATCCGTGCCTGCCTACGTGAAGCTCATTCCTTCTCCCTCCTAAGTTCACCACAGGGTATCCACTCATTGCGCAGGGGGTGGTTCTGGCTGTTTCCTCACATGACAAGGATAAAGCACAAGAAGAAGCACAGGAGCTGGTCAGGCTGTCCAACTGTTATCCCTCAGTCTTGACGCATGAAAAGTCCATCTTCTTTTTCGTTCGTACATTTCTTTGACGCTATTCTTCATTACAGTTCTGCTTGATGATTCTGTATTTGTTATGTTTGGCAGCTGGCCCACAACCACCATGAGCCTCTCCCTCACCCTTGGAGGGACGCATAATTTTAATTCTTTGGAGATTATAATGTTCATGACTTGCAGGCACACAGTGTCGACAGTAGAATTCTGGTACTGAAAATATGGGCCTTCATTTCAGTGAGAAGTCAGATCACAAAAGAAGCCCTATAACTTTCTATTTTCTTGTCCTACTCTCCCCCTCTTGGACCTGACTCACAACAGTCCATTTGCAGTGTCTGCCCACAGTATCCATAATAATACATGAAGTTTAATGGTCGACTATCAAACTGCATGCCATAGTTTGAAAACAGACATTCTTGCAACACTTGCATTTTCTTACATGAATGATTAGGCCATACTCTTTTGGGTGAGTATGAATTTCATATTAAGAGGCTCTAAAAATTTTTGGGGGGGTCTTGATGTAATTAACATGTCACCCACAAACTGTAACATTCAAAGGGCCTCATAATCTATCCTTCAATTAGGATGCTAAGCTGACTATGAAAGACACTTTCAGTGAGTGCAGATCTCAGTTTTAATACCTTACCTAATAGGAATGAATGAACCAGATGCCTAATGGATCATTAATTTAAAAAGATTGGGTAGTATTGGTTAGATCATATATTAAGAAAAAAAATAAAGTCTAATCAGGAAAATAAACCTAAGAGATTATATGCAAAGATAAAGTACTACCACAGTAGAACGCTAATGTTTCAAACAGAACATGACACCTTTTCCCTGAAAATACAAAGGAAAATATTAAAATGCACAGGTGGTCACTCTCCATTCTTCTCTCTATCTCTCAAACTACCATTACCATTTCCTCTTCTTTCTCCTCCTTCTTTACTGAGTATTTCCTGAAATCTTGGACCTTAACTACCTTCTTATTTCTCTCATAGCCATTCCTTCTTTGTCTTCTCTTTTTAAAATCAAACAGTCCCAGAGTTAGAAAGGACCCTCCATGTCTATGTACACCAGCTAATGCCTGAATAGGCATTCCTTCTAACATCAGGGAGCTCACTACCTCCCAGCTCTAATCCTAACAGCTGTCCGTATCTATGTAATGTTTTAAGTTTTGCAGGACACTTTATAGATATGATCTCATTTGAGCCTTGCAACAAGCCTGCAATATAAATGCAAGTATCAACCCCATATTTATGGAAGAAAAAGTATATAATGTGGGATTTACACCCAGATATTCTTGTCTCCAAGTCCAGCACTCTGTTCACTATGCCATACCTCCTCCATTTATTAAGAAACCAAACCTATAAACTGAGCTAAAATCTGCTTCTCTGCACATTTCACCCTCTGCTCCTTCTCTGGTCACCCGAGGCCAGCCAAACTAGTCTGCTCCCTGATCCAGGACCAGTAAATACTTTAAGATAGCTATCAATCACACCTCCCTGCATCATCTCTTTTCCTGGCTTAAAAAAAAAATCTACAAAGGTTCCTTCCAATGCTCAGATGCTGTTTAACAAACCTTCAAAAACCTAAAGACACATGTTAATAATAATAACCTCACCAATCTCAAGTCTTCTCTTCTCACAAACATTCCCAGCTCTTCTAACATATCTTTACAGAGTATGACTTTAAGTCTTTTTATCATCCTGTTAACCCTCTTTTGGAAGCATAGTAATTTGTCAAAAACCCTTCCTAAAATGTGACTCTCGGAAATGAACACAATATTCCTAATAATAATTATTTGTCAAGGGGGGAAGACAGGGAGAGTACCATCTCCCCTCAGTGATAAGACTTAAGTTTTATTAGTGCACACATGTCACATTGTGGACAATAATGGAGACTGTAGCCTCTACATTACTTCCATGATGGCAGATACACTCAAATCTCCTTCTGTAACCCAGTCTTCTTTTTTCAAGGTTCTGACTCCATATTTCCAAAGACCTAAGAGATACCTCCTTCTGGTTATACTAACATCACCCCAAAACCCAGCATGTCCACAACATATCTTGCTCCTCAAAACTAGCTTATTTCATGCCTTCCCTATTCTTTATAATGTCACCTTCAACTCCTCCTTGGTTCTTATATTCAACCAGTTGTCAGGGCTTATAGCTTCTACCTCTCCAAATGTCTAGGCAATCTAATCCAACTGTTACCACCTAAGTTTAGGCATTCATTACTTTCCCTCTAGATAAACCCAACAGCTTATTTCTGGTTTCCATGACTCTAATCTTTCCCCAATCCATATTAATTAACAGGTTAATTTTCTAAATCATGGTACACTACAAAGAGCACAGTACTGTGTCAGAAGACACCTGCATCACAAACTCCCACCTCCAATACTTACTAGCCATGTTATTACGGGCAAGAAATTCAACCTTATTGAGCTGGTTTCCACATATATAAAATGCTATGGTAGATAACTTACAAAGTTGCCTCGAAGATCAAATGAAACAATATAGGTCATTGTATTGTAAATATTGACATTTTATATAAAGATGAAGTTCTACTACCATTAACAAGGGATAATACACAGTTCTGGCCATACAAATCTTTTAATTTCACATATTGTCTAAATGCCTTATACTATGACTTCCTTATAATTCAGTCAAACTATTCACAATTCCCCAAACACATCTAGCACTTTCCCACCTGTAGAACTGTGCTCAAAAGGTTCTCCACTCAAATGCACTTATTATCTTTTATATCTATTAAAATTTTAGTGATCTTTTAAGACTTAGATCAAAAGTAATCTCTCTTCCACAAAGTTTTCCTTAATTCTCCACCCAACAGAATAGTCACTACTATAGCATGGTCATACTTCTTTCTCTCTTTTTTTTCCTTCACTAACCAGCAATTTATTTATTTTTTCCCCTTGATATCAAGGATCATATATTTTATTTTATTCTTACATTTCAATTTATTTATTTTTAGTTTTCAACATCCACTTCCACAAGATTTTGAGTTCCACATTTTCTCCCCATCTCTCCCCTCCCTCCACCCCATGATGACGTGCATTCTGATTACCCCTTCCTCCAATCTTCTATCACTCTCCCCCTTCTTTTATCCCCTTCCCCTTCTATTTTCCTGTAGGGTAAGACAGCTTTCTATACCCCATTGCCTGTGCATTTTATTTCCCAGTTGCATGTAAAAACAATATTTAACATTCGTTTTTAAAACTATGAGTTCCAAATTCTCTCCCTTCCTCCCTCCCCATCCACCTTCATTGAGAAGGCAAGCATTTCTATATAGGTTATACATATGTAGTCATGTAAAACATTTCCATAATAGTCATGTTGTGAAAGACTAACTATATTTCCCTCCATCCTATCCCACCCCCCCATTTATTCTCTTCTCTCCTTTGACCCTGTCCCTCCTCAAAAGGGTTTGCTTCTGATTACTTCCTCCCTGATTCTACCTACCCCTTTCTCCTCCTAGTACATTCCTCTCTCATCCTTTAATTTTATTTTTGAGATATCATCCCTTCATATTCAACTCACCCTGTGCCTTCTGTCTATATATATTTCCTCCAGTTACCCATGAGAAAGGTCTCATGAGTTATAAATATCATCTTTACTTATAAAAATGTAAATAGTTCAACTTTAATAAGTCCTTTATGATTTCTCTTTCTTGTTTCCTTTTCATGCTTCTCTTGAGTCTTTTATTTGAAAGTCAATATTTCTGTTTAGCTCTAGTTTCTCAAGAATGGATTAAATTCCTCTATGTCATTGAATGTCAATTTCCCCCCTCATTGATTACACTCATTTTTGCTGGGTAGGGATTCTTGGTTTTAATCCTAGCTCCTTTGACCTCCAGAATATCATATTCCAAGCCCTCCAATCCCTTAATGTAGCAGTTGCTAAATCTTGTGTTATTCCAATTGTGTTTCCACAACACTTGAATTGTTTCTTTCTAGCTACTTATAGTCTTTTCTCCATGACCTAGGAACTTTGGAATTTGGCTATAATATTCCTGGCAGTTTTCCTTTTGGGATCTCCTTCAAGGCGGTGATCATTGATTCTTTGCATTTCTATTTTACCCTCTGGTTCTAGAATATCAGTGCAGTTTTTCTTGATAATTTCTTGAAAGAGATGATGTCTAGGTTCTTTTTTTGATCATGGCTTTCAGGTAGTCCAATAATTTTTAAATTATCTCTCTTGGATCTATTTTCCAGGTCAGTTATTTTTCCAATGAAATATTTCACATTGTCTTCTATTTTTTCATCCTTTTGGTTTTGTTTTATAATTTCTTGATTTCTCATAGAGTCATTGGCTTCCATTTGCTCCATTCTAATTTTTAAGGAATTATTTTCTTCAGTGAGCTTTTGGACCTCCTTTTCCATTTGGCCAATTCTGCTTTTCAAGGCATTCTTCTCCTCATTGGCTTTTTGGCCGTCTTTTGCCATTTGGATTAGTCTATTTTTTAAGGTGTTATTTTCCTCAGTATTTTTTGGGTCTCCTTTAGCAAGTTGTTGACTCGTTTTTCATGATTTTCTTGCATCACGCACATTTCTCTGCCCAATTTTTCCTCTACTTCTCTTACTTGATTTTCAAAATCCTTTTTGAGCTCTTCCATGGCTTGAGACTAATTCGTATTTTTCTTGGAGGTTTTGGATGTAGGAGCTTTGACTTTGTTGCCTTCTTCTGGTTGTATGTTTTGATCTTTCCTGTCACCAAAATAAGATTCTGTAGTCTGAGTTTTTTTCTGCTATTTGCTCATGTTCCCAGACAATTACTTGACTTTTTAACTCTTTATTAAGACAGGGCTCTGCTTCCAGTGTGGAGGATGTACTGTCCCAAGCTTCAAGGGTTTTGTGCAGCTGTTTTCAGAGATACTTCTAGGGAACTATAAGTTTTCAGTTCTTCTAAGGTGGTATGATCTAAGGAAAGGTGTTTACTCCCCTCCTGGCCTGTGCTCTGGTCAGTGAGTAACCACAAGCACTCTTTTCTGCCCTAGAACTGGAGGAGGGTTCCCTCTCCACTGCTGCCATAAGTTGTGCTATGCCAGTGCTCTTCCTTGTCCCAAGATTGCCAGATCCCAAGTATCAGCAAAGCAATAGAATCCTCCCTCAGTGCTAGCAAAGAGATCCCTGTAATATCCTTCTGATCAGTTGTTCACTCCCCTTACTATCTGTGGGCTGAGAGCTCTGAAAGCAGCTGCTGCTACCCGGGGCCAGGGTTGGACCATATTCCTCTTTCACTGAGGTCTGACAGATCTTTCCCACTGACCTTCTAAGTTGTCTTTGGCGTTTGTGGGTTGAGAAGTCTGGAAACCGCCACAGCTGCCAGTGATTCAGTCCCCTGAGGCCTGGTCTGTGCTGGCACAGCTCACACTGGACTGCATGCCTCTCCCAGCCCAGGGCAATAGACCTTTCCCGTCAACCATCCAGGTTGTCTTCGGCTGGAAATTTGTTTCATTCTGTCTCTTTGTGGGTTCTGCTGCTCTTGAATGTGTTTAGAGCCATTTTTTACAGGTACTTAGAGGGGTGTGAGGGAGAGCTCAAGCAAGTTTTTGCTTTTACTTCACCATCTTGGCTCTGCCCAGTTGCACCTCTCTTTATGGCACTTGTCATATATGGATTCATATTACAGTTATTTCCATACTTATTTAATCTTCCCAACTACATAATAAACTTTTAAATGTCAGGAAATGTGTTTTGTTCATTTTTATTTCCTTACATCATACATAATAGGTGCCTCAATATTCAAAATTCCAAATGTAGATGAATTGAAGGGTCTCCTCTTATAAACAATACATTAAGCACTGAAATAATCAGTGTTTGACACATCAATTAACATTATGAATAAAAGTATCTTGCAGTTATACAGTGCTTTACAGTTCCTTAAGGGCTTTTTTTTTCTACAACAAGCCTGTGAGGTAAGTCAAGTCAAGTGAATGAGCATTTATTATGTACTTATAATGTCCCATGCATCATTTTAAGTGCTGGGGAAACAAAGAAAAGCAAAAAAGACAGCCCCTCCCCCCAACCAGCTTACATTTTAATGGGGGAAATGATATGAAATCAACAAGGAAGATACAAGAAGTACTCAAGGGGGAAGGAATTAGAAGCCAAAAGGCCTCCTCTAACAGATAGGACTTGAGCCAAGTCTTGAGAGAAGCCAGGGAAATGAAGTGGTGGAAGTGAGAGGGCAGAGTAAACCAAAGCACAGGGGAACAGTTAGTGCAAAGACCCAGAGACAGGAAACAGTGTCGGCTTTGAGATACTTCAGGCAGACCAGTGTCACTGGATTGCTGAGTGTGCGGAGGACAGGAACATGTTCAAGAGAGGAAAGGTAGGAAAAGGTCAGGTTCTGAAGAGCTTTGAATGCCACATGAAGGAGTTTATATATGATCCTAGAAATAACAGGGAACTACTGGAGCTCAGTGAGCAGTGGGTGATAAAGCCAGATCTATACTCTGGAAAAATAAGCGTGGACTATAGTGGAGAGAGATCTAAGGACAAGGAGACCAACTAGATGGCTATTATGATAGTCCCAGTGAGAAGAGATGAGGACCTGAACTAGGGTGGCAGCTGTGTGTGTACGGAACGAAGGGGAAGCCTTTGAGAGAGATTCTAAGGAGGGACAGAGTTTGGCAATATAATGGATATACTAAGTGAGGAGCAGAGAGAGGATGACGCCATGGTTGCCAGCCTGTGTGACTAGGAGGGCAGCTGTACTCTTGACAGTAGGGAAGTTTGAAAGAGGACAGGGTGAGGACAGAAAGATAACGGGTTCTGCTTTGGATATGGTGAGTCCAAGCTGCCTACAGGACACCTAGTGCCACATGTCCAAAAGGCAGTTTGTGATGGAGAACTGGAAGTCAAGAGACTAAGGCTAGTTAACATAGGTTTAGGAATCATCTGCACAGAGATAATAAAGGAACCTACAGGAGCATATGAGATTATCAATTGAGATAGATTATCAATTGAAGGCTCAGAGACAGAGTTTTGAGGTCACCCATGGTGAGTGGGTGTGACACAGATGAAGAACCAGCAAAGTAGACTGAAAAAGAACCATCAGACAGACAGGAGGAGAACCAGGAAAGATGTCATGAAAACCAAGGGAGGGGAGAGCATCCAGAGGAAGTGACTGATAATGTCAAATGCCTCAGAGAGGTCAAGAAGGATAAGGATTGAGAAAAGGCCAGGAGATTTGGAAATCAAGAGATCACTGGCAACTTTGGAGAGTGAAGTTTCAGTCAGATGATGGTGTCGGAAAGAAAAATGTAGAGGGTTTACAACTGAATTCGAGTTGAGGGAAATGGAAGGATCTACAATGACATTTCCACATCTTTCGCAAGGAGTTTAGCCATGAAGGGTAGGATAGCTCTAGGATGATGACTAGCAGAAACAGTAAGATCAAGTGAGAGTATCATTTTTTAAGGATGGAGCAGACATAGCAAGGAAGGAGCTTGAAGGCAAGAGAGTGGGAATGACAGTGGCAGCAATCTACTTGAGATAGCATTATTATCCTTTTTCTACAAAACTAAAAAAGGAGGCTCAGGAGTTAAGCGGTCTGCCCCCGGTCACACAGAAAGTAATTGGAACTAAGCACAAACCACGTCTCCCCCTCTTTAGTACTACATCACACTGCCTCTCTGACTATACAAAATTTAATTATTTATTACTTAAAGCTACAGTGTATTTTGTTATTCTGAAAGATTAAATGAATAAAGGGAACAGGAATTGTTGCCCACACACAGAGAAGAATTTCATTACCTGTAGAATAAGTTCTTGAAGTTGAGACTGCTTTTGTTTTATTCTTTCAAGTCTTCTCTGCCTCTCTACCTTTAGAAATAAGACACACACAAAAATTATCTCAAAGAATCATCCCAAGAAGTTATAGATGGAACCAATTTCGGGATTCCAAAGCAATTTAACATAACAATTTTTTAAAATAAACCAACACCAATTCTACCGTTGAAAAAATAAAATTCTTGACTGCAGGCACTTTCTGATGTACGTTTCTATGATCTTTCATTCAGCCTCTAAATATACCTGTCAAATTTTTTTGGAGTTGAATTTCAATTTCCCTTTAATACTGTCCACATTCACATAACTTATGATTATAATTTGTTTTAATGATGTATAAGGATATTTAATTTTTAATTTGTTTTAAGATGTCATATATTATAGGAGCATAGATTTAGAACTGGAGGAACCTTAGATCCCATCTAGTCCAGCTCTTTCATTTTAGAGATGAGCAAACTTAGGCTCAGAGAATTTATTTCCTAGGGTCACAAAGCAACTAAGTGTCAGACTTTAGTCTATGGGTATTCCTATATTCATTAAATAAAAAGAACTCTCAAATTAAGAGATGCTATTTCTGTAGATGTGTACAATGGAGAGGGAAAATAGGAAAAGATTCACTTTCTTGTTACGTTGAAGTAATAAATTCCTGGTAAAGTTAACAATTATTTCTAAAATAGCAGGCAAACTATCCTCATTAAAATTCAGATAAACTTGATGTCATTAGGTCTACCCTGCCCACAGCCATAGTATTACTACTTTAGATTTGGATTCATACAGTTGAGTTGGCTCTCAAAGCCTCACAGCTATGTAAACAATGAAGGGAAACTCTCTTTAAAAGGGTTAAAGATGAGAAAGCATGTCTCTCTGTCCTTCACCACCATTATTTAATGCCTTAATGCAGAAGCAGTAATTTTAATATTGTACCTGATTCTATTACCCTTAACAAATGTAGGCCCATTTAGGAAAACAGCCAACACTGCAAACTCTCCAGTTATTTTCCCAAGAACAAAGCTGAAGCCTTGGCATACTCACTATAAAGGATAACCAATATCTACTGGAAGCTAGAGAGGACACTGGTTCTAGTTAAGTACAATAATTACTCACAGAAACCGAAAACTATCTGGGGGTGGGGCAAGGAGGAAGATTTTCTCTCCTCCAGAATTGTAGAGAACAGAGGAGAGTGAAGAACCAGGCAGGCAGCTTCAAAGGCTGAGTCATATAGACTCTAATTAGCGAGGATTATATTAGAGCACAAGCACCATTATGCTCCTTCAAAAATGGTTTTTGCTCCAAATAATTCAGAAATTATTTGCATTTTCAATTAAACATCACAATTACTGATGGCTCAGTTACTGAGCTCTTTAATTATATAATCTATACACATGTGTTATCATTAGGCATGGAAGGATAGACAGCTGAATTGATAAGTGGATGGGGAAGGTAGGTAAAAAAGGAAACAAGGATATCCCTCCATCAGCCTAGTCACAGAACAAAAAATTCTACAAAACAACATCCCGGTAGGAATGCTGTCTGTGTAATGTGTTTCACACAGCAGGCTGAGCTAACTGATAAGAAGTGACTAATAAGTGTTTTAGATAACATCAATGAAAATATAAAAATACCTATCAGATTTTTATCCTTTCAACTATTATGTATAAGTAAGCTTAAATCCAATTAAAATTAGTAAGTAAGGGGAAAAGTAGTTTTTCCTCATTCATACCTCTAAATTCTGACATTCTTGAGCTGAGTTGGTTGGTAGACCAATCCATTTTATTTCCTTCTTCTCCTTTGAGATAATATTCATGGCCATTAAGACATTTAAGGCATCATAGACTCTTCGTCTTATATTCTTCTGGTCATAAGCCTGCTAAAGACATTATACATTAGAGAAAGAAAACAGAAAGCTTCATACAATTGGTGTTTAAAGACGTAAGGCAGAAGACAAGCAAATTCAAAAGAAGGTGAGAAAGACTTTGTTTTATACAGTGGACTGCTAAAAATAGTTCATTATACCCCTCCCCCTGCCCATAGGTAAGAAAAAAACCAAATTCCCAAAAGAGTAAGCCTGATAGTGTCAATACATTAACTTAATGTTATTGATCTCTCCCAAAGCCTTGATTATAATTAGCTTGACAACCCTTGAAAGAAAACACTCTTCAAAAGTCCCAAAGGGAAGCTTTCAGGATCCTTAGAAAATACGAACCCATCTACATCATACTTACTGATTCATTTGGTAAAATGTGGTTATCAGCAGCACTGAATTCTGCGACCAATTCATCTGCCACTTCATTATATGAAGTGGTTCCTTTCCTCTGTACCTTCTCACAAACCTTCATTGAAAAATGTCTTAATCCCTTGCCATTCTTTTCTCCTTTTCTATTGCGCTTCCTTAAAAATACAAAGTAAAATAATATTACCTAAATCAACCTTCAACTAAAATCTATCCTTATCTAAAAAATGAAATCACTACATTTACAAGACACAAGTGCAACCAAAGCAAGAGAATCATATCAGAAGGCTGCAACTTGAATCATACTTCATTATCTCAAGGCAGAAAACTATTTGATCTGCCAGGGGAATTTGAGAATTTTTTTTTTTAAAAGGCAGAAAATTCCAAGAAGCCCAATCTCACATTCATACCTTTATATTGTTAAAATACTGTGAGAAATCTTGAACGGTAAAAGCTGTATACCACATAGTAAGCTTTTTGAAGGCATTATTCAATATAAAAGTTCTACGTTTTTGAACAAAATTTCTAGAAAGAACACATAAACTCAAATAAGGAGCATAACAACCATAAATGTCATCAATAGAGTGATGTCTTTCTACAAGGTAAGATGCACAATTAGGATCTACCTTGTAAAAATAAATAAATAAGATTCACAACCATTAAAGAAAATTTCTAGTGTTTTATGTCAAATTAGGAAAAGAGGTTTTGGATTTTTTTAAGTAGGCATAGCAATAAAATATAATCACTTGGGTTTCCATCTCCAAATAAGCCTGAACCGCAGGGATGCACACGTTTTTGTAGGGAAGACATATGAAACTGTGATCATAAGACAATTCTACTTAAAAATCTATTTAAGCGACCTTTTGCTTAAAGTGGAAAAGCTATTTCAGGAAGAGTATAGCTAAAGTTAAAAATAGAAGTGTGTTATATAACAGGATATCTTTATCCCCTTCTAAAAGGTTTACAGTCATTGAATTGATACTGAACTTCCTCAGGTGTCATTTTCTAGTATAGACAATGAAGAGTTTCAAAGTTACCCCAGTTTCACTGAAGACATCTCAATTCCTCAACTTGAACCAAAATTTTTTGGTGTAACTACAACATTCATGAAGCTGGAGCCATTGGACTGCTTTCCCTATAATCTGATTTCTCAGATGCTAAAGTAAAAGTGTGTTCTTGATTATATATCTATTCTGGGAATGGTTTGAAATTTTTTCACATGGCCTAATTTTTCCAATATCTTAAAGTAATAAGATCTCTGAAAAATAAATCTAAACTGAAGCCCTAATATATTTGGTTTGGTTGCAAGACTACATAGCTCATTTAGCCAAGACAGAAATTTATGATTAAAATCCTAAGAAATTCTTTAAACTTCGAATAATTTGAGAGGAATATTGCTCACCCCGCCGACCAAGGTGAGGAGTCTGAAGCCTGGTTCTGTGATACAAAATGTGTGTTAGGCGTATGTGGACTTCCTACAAGGATTGTATTTGGCGCGGCAGATCTCTGAGGTGTGCCAATTACCTACAGTTAAAAGAGACAATTCAAAATAGAATTAGAAATCTCCCATGTTATGAAGATGTCATTTTTTTAAATTTACTAATCATCTAGAGCTACTTAATTTAATCAACTAAGGAACTGCCTAGAACAATCAAGCACTCACGGCTGACTCTTAAGCAATAATACAAACCCATCTAAAAAACAACTTTTTATTTTTCCTTCTTTTGTCTTAACTCCTTCACCACTTTAAACAAAAACCATCAATAAGCCAAAAGTCTAAACAAACCAAAACCAAAATAACACACAAGTCACAGGTGAATAAAATAATAAATTAAAAGTTTGGTTTTTTTTTAAGGGGGACAGTCAATTGCTGGGGGGAGAATTAGTAAATTAGTGCCTACAATACACTGACTTAATTACAGTATGTGTGGAGGTGGGATGAGGTAGGAGAAGTGATTAGAATACTTCAATAGATTTAACAATATTAAAAAAAAAACCAGGTAAACTGAAAATTCTCTCAGAAATAAAGTACAAAAAGACAACTATGCATGGATATGTGCATGGACATGATGGATCAACCTCCATCAATTAGGTAACGTCTATTAATCATGAATAAACTGATAGCTTAGGACCCCCATGGTCATGTATTATCAACTTCAGAGTTTCTTGTAGTGTCCTTGTAAGGTAGGGAGTGATGCAAACCAGTTCAAAATAGTTTTATATACACTGATTATGTATATGTTACGTTATGTTCAAGGAATTAGTTCTAGGCACTGAGAACAAAGATAAAGAAGGTACATTCCTTGCCTCAAGTAGTTTATAATCTAGACTAGAGGTTAGCATACTCTTGCCAGCTGGTCTTATAAGAATAAAGTAAAGAATGCTTTTTGCATTTTTAAATAAAATTCTATTGTATTTAAAAAATATAAATACCATTCTTCAGTCTAAAGAGTGAGATTTGGCCCAGAAGACCACAACTTAAAGACCCCTGATTTAAAAGACTGGAATAAAGTATGCACACAAATAAATGCAATACAAACCAAGTGATAAAGAGACAGTGTTTGAGCTAGGCCTTAAAGTATTGTTAGGATTTCAGTAAATCTGGAAGAAGCATAAAACTTGTGAAATGAAGCACAGAGAGGCAAGGCTTGAAAGGCAGGCTGAAAGTAAACAAAGGATTTTAGTCAGTACGCTACCAGGAACTATTAAAGATTAAGCTCGAGGTAGGAAGACCAAAGGATTTAATAATAATGATTACAGCTAACACTGATCTAGTACTTTAAGATTTGCAAAGCACTTTACAAATGTTATTTCATTTGATCCTCACAACAACTTTGTGAGGTGGCACTCTAATTGACATTTCACAGATGAGGAAGCAATTAAGTGACTTTGCCAAGGTCCTGCTGCTACTAAGTATCTGAAGCAAGATCCAACCTGAGGTCTTCCTGACCCCAAGTCCAATAATCTACCAACTGTACCTCTTAGTGGTCTTATTACTACAAAGGACCTTTCATCATCTAATTCAATTCCTTCATTTTACAGATGAGGACACCGAAGCCTGGAGGGGTAACTTGATCAAGGTCACAAGGGCACAAAGTGTCAGCCCAGATTCAATGCCAGGCCTTCTAACTTGAAATTCAGTGTTCATTTCACCACTGCACAGTCCTAGTTAGTCACAGCCCATACAAGATAAACTAAACTGGAATTGTAGCAATGGAAATAAAGACAACAGGTAAGATGGGATGGAAGGAACCACTCAAACAAGACTTGTTAAATGATTAGGTAAAGGGCAAGCGACTGAAGAATCAAAGATGACTAAACATTTCAAGTGGGGTGACTAGAAGAAAAATGGTGATGTTGTTAGAAATAGGTATTTAGAAGGAATCCGTTTTTGGAGGGAAATGACATTCAATTTTAGGCATGCAGAATTTAAGGTACTATAGTGATATAGGTTGAAATATCCTACAGGCAATAAGAAATGCAAGCTGGGAACTCAGGGCAAGGCTAACAATAGATCTGAGCACCATCCATCTGTGCAGAGGTCAATAGCTCAAGTCATGAGAGGACAGCAATGGAACTTGGGAGAATGCTAAATTGAGAGACAGGAAAAGAAGAGCAGACACTGAGGTTGACAAGGAAATGAGAGAAGGACAATTAACCAGGCTGACAAAAGATTAAATTATACTATTATCTAAAATACATAATCACATTGTCAGGTTCAAATATGCACTCCATTTTCATATATTGAGACCCCCAATGAAGTCAGCAAACAAAAACCAATGGCTTAAAAGTATCGACTGAGGTCAAAATTTCCTCATACACACACACTCTCTCTCTCTCTCTCTCTCTCTCTCTCTCTCCCCATAATCTTCCCACTGTGCCCTTAAACATAATGCCAAATAAATTACTATTCAATGAACAAGTAACTTTACGTCCTTTGATAACTCCGAAGTTACACATCAATTAGTGCCTCAATATTAAGATGTAACAAAAAGCACATCCCATAACATGTACAGTTAAAATTTTACCCTTTACTGTATTACATGTTCCTTCCAACTTTACTGCATTATTCTCAAATATTTCTGAATAAACGCTCAAATTCTATCCACAGCTAAGTTTAATCATACAGCTATAAACTGTAGTCAATGTATTGAAAAACTTGAGCAAAACGTATTAAAGTTATTGAAGGTCTAAAAAAAAAAAAACAAACCCAAGAAAGAATATATTATTGAAAAGATTCACCATAGATAATATCTTGGGTTATTTTAAGCTTGCTATCCCCTTTTGTTCCCCTTCTTAACTGGATAAATGCATTACCTAATATGACACCATTAATAGCTGACAGAGGAGCTTTTTTTATTATCTTCCTTAAGTCCAGGTGACCTCATTCAATGTTAATGGTTCACATATCAAGTTATGGTCCATGAAAGGAGAAAAAGTTGCTTTCCTTTAAAGAGTATTTAAAATTTTCAATAATATATGTTTATGGAGTTATCCCTGAGCTGTTAAAGTCTAATTTTATGCTAAAGTCACATTATTTTTTCATTTCATTTCATTACCAAAATGACCAAACACTTTCATAAGGAAGTAATCTAAAGACCCTCCCTCCTAATGACACCCTTGCAGTTCTTGTTAGTTATTCAGCACACACACAGGCAACATTCATTTCATCTAAACACTAAACTTTAAATATAAATTTTGTAACCTGAATCAAAGTATCTTTTTTGGGCTTAGAAAACAACTATCTCTCATAAACAGTGTATCAATACATTTTGAATTCAGGGGCAAGGGGGTCTTGTTTTCATTAGCCTTCTTAGTTTAACACTAATTCATAATGTTCCATTTGAAATTCTGGATATTAACTTAATATACCTTTTGAATTATACTGCAATATAGAATGGAAATATGCATATTTACAAGTAAAAATTAATATTTATTTCTAGGCAGACATTTTTGGGAAAATATAGCTTGACTATTACAAAAGCTCAACTCTACTGAACTGTCCTTACTTTGCATTGTTTTATATAGCATTCCCAGTTTTTTAAAAAGGCCAACAACCCTAAACATATGCATACAGTGTTGAACCTAAACAAAATTAATTCACTGTACGGACATTTTAAGCACCCATGTTGTAAAACAAAAGCTGGAACAAAATACCATCCCTGATCTTATACAATCTTGGTCTCCTCAAAACTTATCATTTGAGATAATAAAACACCAGACCCTAGAAAAACAAACAGTAAACTTTTAGCCTAATAGGATCATCAGGGAATGACTTATTCTAGAATAGGGGTCCATGGATAGATTTAAGACTAGGGGGCAGGGGGAGGTAGGATCATTTTTAAATTATTATTATTTTTAATAATAACAATAATGAAAGTAGCAGTGAACATGCATTTACTAATGCCAGGTACTGTGCTAAGCATTTTACATTTAAAAATATTTTGACAACTAAATTTCAACTTGGTTTCCTTTGTAATTCTATTTATTTTATTTTATGCATTTAAAACATTATTCTAAGAAGAGGACAATAGGCTTCACCAGATTAACAAGGTGATCCAAGGCACCAAAAAATGTTCAGAAGCCTTGTTTTCCAAATACCTAAGGGCTTATCCCTTAAAGCATCAAAACATTTTTATAATAATTTGGCTATTCTAGAAGGTAATCTTCTTAAGATATATTACATACTTCCTGCCTTTAACAAAATCTAACCTTTTCTTGGTTACTCAGTGATTTTTATGAAAGTCAATTATTCTGCTATGTTGGAAGCTTTATACTGATTAGGAGTGATTTTCCTTTGCATCAACCCCAGACTACTATGGAGATCTTCACATATTTGTGGCTACTTTTTATAGGTTTCCTCTATTGTCCATCATTTACCAGGCAGTAATTATTTCTCTCAACCTGGACATAAAAGCACTCCCCCCCCCCTTTTAATTGGCTATTTCTCTGATCTAGTGGAAAGAGCTGGAGGGAGTCAGAATATCTGGGTTCTGGTTTTAGTGTAACCTCTCTTTGGGCTGTGCAGACATTTTGTTTGCTTAACTCCTTCTTGGCTGGGTTCCAGATAGGAGAAGTAGACTTGCAGTATTCTATATATTTGATTAAAACACCCTAATGTAGGTATATGGTGGTTTAAAATTGTATCTTTTATCTTTAATCTTTACATTTTCACTTTTCTTTAGTTACAATAATTATTGGAGTATTTTAGATAATCAGAGTATTTCAAGGAAAATCAAAAGAGGAGAGGGAGAGAGTGAAAGTAATAGGCGAAAAAGTAGAGGGCAAAATGTGAGAGAAAGAGAATAGTTATAATGATGGAATTTATGAAGTTGGAAAATAATACCATCATTTCATTTCAGGGTATGGCTAAGGGCAATATATGAAAAGAAATCATAGCATCCTAAGGTTATATGAAGAGCAAATAATTTAGAGCAAGCTCAAAAATAGTGGCTTCTGAGTACAGTAGGTTTTCTCTGTGCATTCCTGAATCACTAATAACCGAGTGGGGAGGAAGTAACATCTTGTGGAGCCAGTAATGACTGTGGGACTTGAGAAGAAAGCAAAAATTTAAGTAGTTATTTTATGGATTCCCTAATATTATCAGTTCCCAAGAGATCCAATTAAATTCCCATTCAACAAACATTTATTAAGCGCCTACTATGTCCCAGGCACTCTACTAAGTACAGAAAGTATAATAGTTCAAGCTTGTCAATATTGAGCCAAAGAGAACACCACAAGGGTGATCTAATTCATTGTCAAATACTGGCTTCCTATGTAAATCAACACAAGGAATGATTACTCTTAATGGAAATTAAAGACACTAGCTCACTAGCTCCTGTTAAAGATAAGGGTTCACTGGCTCATTTTTGACCAGGAAATCAATAAATCTCTGGGTTTTTAGCATTAAAAGTCTTAGTGAAATTTATTGGGGTTTTTTTTCCTGTTTGTTTTTAAATCCATGAGTTGTAAGAAACTTTAAAATGCTAAACTTAAAATTATCTGACAGGGGGCAGCTAGGTGGCACAGTAAATAGAGCACAGGCCCTGGAGTCAGGAGGACCTGAGTTCAAATACGGTCTCAGACACATAACACTCACTAGCTATGTGACTCTGGGCATGTCACTTAATCCCAACTGTCTCACATACACACACAAAAAAATTATCTGACAGAAAGGATCCTTTCATCAATGAAAATATTTCAACTTATTTATATTGACAAACTTAATAGAACTCCTGAAGGAATGAAAACCTTAATGAAAATAACAAATTAAACTCTGACTCGTTACCTTACAGATAAATCCAAACTGCAATTTAGGCTAATATGAGAAAACTGTAAATAAATGTTCAGTCTATACCTGAAAAAGCACAAAGTCATAAATTTTCAGGATAAAATGGAAATAACAAAATACGTATGTTTTGAAAGCTCTAAGCAGTCTGTGGACATGGTGGGCATAAAACAGATAGCTAGAGATACAAAGAGGAGTTCTATTACACAAGCTGTAAAGTTATTCTAGACAAGGAAGTATGAAAGAAACAATAGTATGGAAACTCTATAATTGGCACCTAATGAAGCTATTGGAATAAGAGTTAGACCAAAAACAGCATGGAAAGAACTATAGATAGAGATTTTTGTTTTTGTTTTTGTTTTTGGTTAGGTAATGGGGTTAAGTGACTTGCCCAGGGTCACACAGTTAGTAAGTGTTATGTGTGTGAGGCCACATTTGAAATCAGGTCCTCCTGACTCCAGGGTCAGTGCTCTATCCACTGCACCACCTAGCTGTCCCTATAGATAGAGATTTTTTTGAAAAAGGATATAGAAATGGAGCAGGTGTATCATGATTTTATTGAAAGCAAAACAGCACAAGGTTACATAAACAAGATGTTTACAAAACAGACTCGAGAAAAAAGTATTGTAGGCCCATTTAATTATGGAATAGACTACTTATAATCTGTTAAAAGTGGTAGAAAAGACAAAAGGACAGAAGCTGAATGTGATAGAAAACAAAAAGAAATCAGTGAAACAAAAGTGTGTAGTTATGTCATTTGGCAAAAACAGCTTATTACTAAGAAAAATAGTAATTAGTAAAATGAGCAGATATTTTCCAAAAGCTATTGCTTTTCCCTTGACAATATTATAATTCCATTTCCTTTATAATCACTTAGCAAAAGGCAAAAATAATCTTCCCCTCTGACACTTTGATCAGAATTATTGCTTTCCAATGTCATCCACAACTTGAAACTACTCACATTCCATCTGACTGCTCAAGCCTGTATCAACTCTTCATTGGACTCTAAAAGACCTGTTTCTTCCTCTATTTCTACATCTCCATACCTTCTATAATTTTCCATAATCCACAGACTGAAAAAAGTTTCCTGCTTCTACTTGAAATTCTCATTTAGTATTTATCACTTGTTCAAAGAATTCTGATCTGATCCAATATTGTGAATATCAATATCATATCAACTTTGATCTACAGTAAGGTTTTCCTCCTAATCTCAAAAAAATTAATTAGTATGTGCTTTGAATGTGCAAAATAAACCATATAATATATTATAAATGCACAACAAATATTCATTAATTCAAAAGCAGGAAATTATCAGAGACCAAAAGATTCCTTTTGGAAACTTAAAAAGGAACTTATAAAAGGTTTGGAAATAGTAGAGTAGATGCTGGAAAAGTTAATAGAGGAAAGTGCAGAACAGTATAAAGACAAGTTGTCCTTTGTAGTCCCCAAACTCTAGGAAAGTCCCTTATCCTCTTTCTGTCTCTGAATCTGCATCCCTCAAGTATAAATAACAATATTTGGCCTAACTCCCTTGTGGAGCCACTGTGGGCATTCAAGCAGACAAGGTGTCAAAGTACTTTAAGAACTATGAAGCAGCACAGAAACAGAAAACATTACCGCTGCTGCTAAGATCTCTTAGAGGGAAAGCCAACAAATAAAAATACCAACTTTTTTTCAAAGAATCGAAGTCTTGACAGTCTAGATTTGAGAGAATCATTAGACTGAATCCTATAAAGATAAAAGGGGTCATGTCTCTCAATGAGATATTGCTGTACACGGCAAATTCACCAGTACGAAGACCAATGCTCACATTGATTTATCTGTAATGAATCTGACATATGTGCCAAAGGAACACTCCACCCTCCACCAAAGAACTCCTTACCACTTGCTGGGTGATGTTAACATTGGACTGTCCAAAAGTTTTGGGCAAGAGCTGCTTCCCAACAGCGCTAACTGTAGAAGGATGAACGGCTACTAATGAAACAACTCCTAGGATACAAACAAACAGACAAAAAAAGTCACAAAGAAGCGTTACCTTTGTCTTAACAATTAAATCTAAAATGAAAACAAAACCTTTTTAGTATCAAGAGATGTGATTATAACATCCTTCTTACTACTGCCTGACTGGCCTTTTTAATGTTTGCTCTGAATCTGTTAAATAATGTTCATTTATGTGCATGATACAACTGGGGACTCTTTTTCAAAAGTTATTTTGGAGCTTAGCTTTCAATAAAAACTGAATAAAATTTTAAATTACAATTTCCAAATGTTAAGTGAAGGAGGTTAGACTAGATCAGGTTCCCCATCCATGGACCAGATGGTCTCAGTAGACTCTTCTCACATGAATTTCTATTATAATGTTATCTTAATACAAGTAATACACAATAAAACAAAATTAAACATTTCAACCCAGGCATTCCTGATTACCTCATTGCAAGAATAGTTCAGAAACATAATGATTTATTTTCCGTTAGATATTTTTTGGGAGAAGAATCAATTTTTTCATATGTCATTCAATTCACAAAAGGCTTATTAATATAATTAACATTAACAAAAAACAAAAACAAAAAGCAAAAAGGGTTAGTTACACAAGGTAAAGAGTAGCATCTTCAGTTTGAAAAAATACAATATATCACTGTTGGCATCTGCTGTGACAAACAGCACCATATTTTCAATAAAATATCTTGTTGCTGGCTTTTAGACTTAGAGTCTATGTTATTTTTAAAAACAGCTTAAGCATCCTTACCCAAGTACATGCCAATTACAACCAATATATCAGAAAATGTACCTCAACCCAAAGTTGGGGAAAATAAAATCAGAACTTTTGTACTATTATTTCAATTTAAAAAATACAATCACAGTATTGTCAGCTTCTCAGCTTCTTATCTCTTCATAATTCTAAGTTCCCCCTCAGTCCATTTAATCAGCTAATCACACTGTTTATACTCTGAAAGCAAAGGTTCATGACAAGACTATTAAAATATGTAGGGGTGAGGGGAGGAAGCTACAAATGAACCTCACTTTCATCTGAAAAGCACAAAGGACTGAAAAAGACAGACAGACACACACACACACACACACACACACACACTTTGGTACAGAAATAAAATAAACAACAGGGAATCAGGCCAAACAAGGCCTGGGGAAAAGGGGAAGTAAGAGGAAAGAATTAGTATTAAGCAAAACAAATTCTATCTTTGGGGATGGAGCATAGAATGATTAACAAAAGGAAAGGAAAACAAGGTTAAGAACTTGTGATGAACAAAGAGAGAGGGAAGGGAAAAGAAAAAAAGGTTACTGGAGCAAAGAGGAGGGAAGGGGAGGAAAGGGGAGAGAGAGTATGACATCAAACATACAGCATTAGTGCTGAGCACAATTTTCTCTCAACAGCCTTTTCTTTGTAAAGAGATATGTGGCAAAAAGAAAAATATACAAGGATGGAATGAAAGAAAATACAGAATTAATCATCAGAAATGTGAACATAAAAAGCATAAAATCACCCATATCATAAAGAAGAGTAGAAGAATGAATTAGAAAAGAGAAATCCAACAATATGCTTTTTATAAGAAACACTTAAAAAAGGACCCACAAAATAAAAATAAAGAGTTGAAGTAAAATCTGTAATACTTCAGTAACTCAAAAACAGATGATCTCAGACGCAATAATAAAAACATATTTGATTTAAAAAGATAAACAGTGGACTTCTGGGGGCAGAGTCAAGATGGAGGAATAGAAAAGCACTCAGTCAGGATCTCCCAACATTCCCCTCCGAACAACTTTAAAACAACACCACAATTAGCATTCTGGAGTAGCACAGTGAACAAAAAGTCAGAGTGAGAAATCATCCATCTCAGCCCAAGACAACATAAGAGGTTGGAAAGAGAGATCTGTGACATAAGGGTGGAGGCTGGCCCTGAGCCCACTGGATAAAACCCCAGTGGTGGAACTCCGTGATGGCCAAAGAAGCAGCAGCAGCTTCAGGATCTTTCAAGCCAAAGATGGTAAGGGGACCTGGCAATTGGGCAGAAAGAGATCCCAGGGGCTTCCTATGCTAGCACCAGACATAGGACCAGGCACTGTTTGGCAATTACATTGCCAAACTTCTTTAGAAAAAATTCCATATACCTATTTCTGGGTCACAGTTCAAGAGCAGGAAGAAGCACTTTCAAGAGAAAGTGGAAGCCCCGAGGGGCAAATGTTTAGTGACTCCATTATCTACGTCCACTTCCAGGTCATGGTTCAAGGTCAGGGAAGAGCACTTTTAGTCAGGAGGGAGTGGAAGGAATACTGAGGTGCGGTATCACTTTTGGCCCCAAGGGATCAGGAGTAGCATATAATTATAATCCTAGGGGATCAGGGACCTTTCTTGGGAAAGGACCAGTGTTCAGACCAGGACAGCGCAGACCACACTTCTCCTCAAATTACACCACCTTGGAAACACAGAAAACCTCCAAAGTCCCACAGCTAGCTTGGAAAACAATGCAAAAAAGCCTGAAGCTTGAGACAGTGCCCTACCACGCCCTATACCAGGAACAGAGCCCAAGTCTAACATAAAGTTCCAAATCAAGAAATAAGGTGAGAAAAGGAGCAAACAAAAAAAGAGAACCTAACCATAAAAAGCCATTATGGTGACAGAGAAGATGAAGACACAAACTCAGGCGACAATTAAGTCAAAAAAAGTTATAAGCAAAGCTCAAAGATAAACAACTCCAGTATCTTTGCCAAGAAAACTCCAAACGCAGTCACAGAGGGTCAGACACAAATGACAAAATGGCCAGACAACAACGATAAAAAAAAAGCACAAAAAAATGCTGAAGAAAATAACACTTTAAAAACAGAATTAACCAAATGGAAAAAGGGGTACTAAAATTCACTCATGAAAAATAACTCCTTAAAAAGCAGAATTGGTCAAATGGAAAAAGAGGTAGAAAAGGTTCCTGAAGAAAATAATTCTTTAAAAATTTGAATTGGTCAAGTAGAAGCTAATTACTCCATAAAGTATCATGAAACAATAAAAAAAAATCAAAAGAATGAAAAAAATAGAAGAAAAAGTGAACTGTCTCACTGGAAAAATAACTGACCTGGAACACAGATCGAGGAGAGATAATTTGAGAATTACTAGATTACCTGGAAGTCATATCAAAGAAAGAGCCTCAACTGTATATTTCAAGAAATTGTTCCCTCACCCCCCCAAAACTGCCCAGATAGCCTCAAATCAGAGGGTAAAATACATATTGAAAGAATCCACCAATCACCACCTGAAAGTGATCCCAAAATGAATACTCCCAGGAATATTATAGCCAAATTCCAAAGCTCCCAGGTCAAAGAAAAAATACTTCAAGCAGCCAGAAAGAAAACCATTCAAATACCATGAGACCACAGTTAAAATCACACAAGATTTAGCAGCTGCCACATTAAAGGAGTGATGGGCTTGAATCAACTATGATATTCTAGAAGGCAAAAGAACTGGTATTAAAACCAAGAATAATCTGCCTAGCAAAACTAAATGCAATCCTTCAAAGGGGAAAAATGGGTAAAAATGGATATTTAATGAAATAAAAGACTTTCAATTATTCTTGAGGAAAAGATCAGAGCTAAATGGGAAGTCTGACTTTCAAATAAAAGACTCAAGAGAAGCATAAAGAGGTAAATATGAAAGAGATATCACAAGAGCCTTAATAAGGTAAAACTGTTTACCTTTCTATTTTTTTCTTTTTTTGTAGGCAATGGGATTAAGTGACTTGCCCAAGGTCACACAGCTAGTAAGTGTCAAGTGTCTGAGGCTGGATTGGAACTCAGGTCCTCTTGACTCCAGGGCCAGTGCTCTACCTACTGCGCCACCTAGCTGCCCCTGTTTACCTTTCTATATGGGAAGATGATACATGTATCTTCTAAGAACTTTATCATTATCAGAGTAGTCAGATTCTACACAGAAAGAGGGTGCAGGAGTGAGTTGATTATGTTGGGGGGATGAAAAAAAATGTTAGGTGAGAAAGAGGGATCCCCTAGGAGAAGAGAGAAGGGAAAAGAAGAACAGGGGAAATTATTTCACATAAAAAAAATTATTTCACAAGGAAAAGCTTTTATAATAAATAGGGAAATGGAGGGGAATCAATGCTTGAATCTCATTCCTATCTAAACTAGCTCAAAGGAAAATATATATACATACTCAATTAGTAATAAACATCTATCTTACTGAGGAGGGAAATAGGAGAAGATGGAGATAAGGGGAGAAAGGAGTGTGATAAAAGAAAGCAGTGGATTTTAGAGCAGGGATAGGATAAAAATAAAGGTTAAATAGAAGAAAATAGGATGGAGGGAAAAGCACAGTTAGTAATCATAATTGTGAATGTGAATAGGATGAACTCACCTATAAAATGAGGAAGTAGAAAGCAGAATGGATAATAAATCAGAATCCAACAATGTACTGTTTACAAGAAACACACTTGAAACAGAGACATTCACAAGAGTTAAAATAAGGAGCTGGAGCTGAATCTATTATGCTTCAGCTAAAGTTACAAAGACACGAGTAGCAATCATCATCTCAGACAAAGGAAAGGTAAAAATAGATTTAGTTAAAAGGGATAAGCAGGGAAACTTTGTCTTGCTAAAAGGAAACCATAGATACTGAAGCAATATTAGTACTAAACATAAATACACCATATAGCGTAACACTGAAATTCTTAAAGGAAAAGTTAAATGAATCACAGGCAAAAATAGAGAGTAAAACCATACTAATTGGAGACTTCAACTTTTCCCTCTCAGAGTTAGATAATTCTAAGCATAAAACAAATAAGAAAAAAGTCAAGAAGATGAATAGAACCTTAGAAAAGCTAGATAAGTTAGACTTCTAGGGAAAACTGAATGGAAACAAAAAGGAGTATTCATTTTTCTCAGCTATACATGACACCTTCACAAAAATTAACCATGTATGAGGGCACAAAAACATTACAACCAAATTCAGAAAAGCAGAAATATTAAATACATCC